CTGTGTCCGGCAGTTCTCGGCAGCCAGTGACATGCACGGCTGTTAGTTCTTCTCCTCGGAAATTCTCCCCATTTGGCTTTCTTCCTTGTCTTCCAGGGTTTTGTTATTGTTGTTGTTGTTGTTGTTTGCATGCAAATATGTCATTGTATTTGTACGTCTTCCAGTTTTATTAAGATGTGTGATAAATGTTGTATAACCTTGATTTTAACAATATGGAATACATACATGTATCGATCATCACATGCTATGCCATAAATAGGCATGTATATATGATAATATTTTTAGTATTAACAGATATTTTCAAAAACCAAAATCATTGTATGTATTGTAGTGTACCATGTGCTTCTTATTTTGATTGTAGGCATTATACATGACACTATTACATAAAGACATGTCATACAAGTAGATGTTGTACATTAGACATATTCCTTTCACACATTTGGTTTTGAAGATGCAAAATACCTAGTTTTTTTCCTACTTTTCAACAGAGAGAGAGAGAGAGAGAGAGAGAGAGAGAGAGAGAGAGAGACAGAGAGAGAGAGACAGAGAGAGAGAGAGAGAGAGAGAGAGAGAGAGAGAGAGAGAGACAGAGAGAGAGAGACAGAGAGAGAGAGAGAGAGAGAGAGAGATGGTTTGAATAAGAATGATCCTCATAGGCTCATATATTTGAATGTTTGCTTCCCAACTGATGGACTGTTCAGGAAGGATTAGGAGGTGTGGCCTTGTTGGTGGAGGTGTGTCTCTGGGGAGTAGGGGGGTTGAGGTTTCAAAAACCTATGCCATTCCCAGTTAGTTCTCTCTGCTTCAGGATCAGATATAGCTCTCAGCTACTGTTCCAATGGCACATCTGCATGCCTGCTGCCATGCTACCACCATGATGGTCATGGACTCACCCTCTGAAACTATAAACAAGCCCCAGTTAGATACTTTCTTTTATAACTTGCCTTGGTCATGGTGTCTTTTCACAGTAATAGAACAGTAACTAAGAGAGACAGACAGACAGACAGACAGAGAACATACTGATGTGACTCAGCTTTAATCCTCGTCTTTTGAATGTATTCACTGCCAGATAGACTATGCCAGCCTGAGTTATAACTCCTAAATATCTGCTGGCAGCCTGGCGCTCTCTCCAACACCAACTGTAAATTTGGGTACAATTGCCTGTTCTGTCTCTACATTGGTATTACTTGGTAAGTACCTCACGTTCAGCATAAGAAAATGTGCTTCCTTGATGGGGTGGTGATTGTCCGAAGCAGACCTGCTGCAGTGCTTCCCTTTGCCTAGTCATGATCACTGACGTTTCTGATCATGGTCCATATAAGGCATAGGAAGACCAGAAAGAACAGCCGAGCATGCCCCCTGAACTGCATGCATGCTCCCCACTCATGAGTGCAGTCTGAGAGCAAGGCATCAGTGCAACCAGGCAGATGATGCAAGAGTCTGGGCACCTGCTTGTGTAACTTGTTCACTTATTCAGGATCTCCTTAGGCCTGGTACCTTTGCGTCACCTCCTTCAAATGATGAGTGGCTGCCACACCCTACCAACTTTACGACTACTAGAAACCAGACCAAATTGAGCGGCTCAGGTCACACAACACTTTGAAGCAGTCCCTATAAAACAAAAATATGACCATATCAATAACAGACACATTCACTTTTCTTATTAAATTTCAGTGGCTCCCACATGGCCTCTGGATGAAGTCAAAATCTTTGTGGCTGTTGACAGTCTACAGCAGCAGTTCTCAACCTGTGGGTCACAATCCCTTTGGGGGTCCCATATCAGCTATCCTGCATATCAGATGTTTATATTATGATTCACAACAGTAGCAGAATTACAACTATGAAGTAGAAAAATAATTTTATGGTTGGGGTCACCACAACGTGAGGAACTGTATCAAAAGATCACAGCATTAGGAAGGTTGAGAACCACTGGTCTACAACCTCATCTCAAGTCAGTCCCTAGCACCCACTTCCTGTTCCAGGCTCTGTGGTGATCTTCTTCACTTCCTGTTCCAGGCTCTGTGGTGATCTTCTTCACTTCCTGTTCCAGGCTCTGTGGTGATCTTCCTCTCTCCTCCTTGCCTCTCCTTACACTGTTGTCTTCCTTGCCTGATACCCGATCCATATTCCCAAACACCTTACTCCAGTCATGCCTTAAGAACCAGCTCAGAAAAAAAATTAAATCAATTCATGTGCACTATGGTGTTTATGCAACACTGAATACATCGGTATTATTATATCAGAGCAAGTCTGTGGAGTGTTGATGAGGGAAACGGTAAAAATATTTAAAATAATGGCAGTTAATTTAGTGACATGTCTTATTTTCACTTTCTTCTATGAGGGATTAGTTTTTTCAAGGTAAAATCACACAAATATAAAATGAATAATTTTTATTTAATAAAAAAATGCCAAAATTTTTTATTAATATATAATTAATGAGGGGAGCCACTAAGGCACTACAATTTATCCGAAAGTGAATTCAGAAAGCTCACCTATGTAATACAAATAAGTTTGCTTATTAGACACAAAGCTGATCTTCCACTCTGGATGAGGGAGATAAGTTGACTATTCTTCAGGTGGCATGTATCTGCACCCTGAACGAGCCTCATTGGCAATGTTATCAGTTACTTAAAGCTCACTAACTTATAACAAGTTTCAAGACAAGGAAAGATACAAAGGACCCCCCCCACATCCCTCCACGCCCCCAACCCCGCAGACACTTGTCATCCAGAAGACTGCATTAGACAAAGTAGTGGGTGTCATGCCCCATCCCCCAGCGGTGACACTCAACCCATTTCAAAGCCAGGCACATTTTGTCTTTGGCAAATTTTCCCTAAACTTTCTTATAAATTTTTTCAATTTTTTTTAATTTTACAAAAAGCATATATCCTTTTTTCTAAGCGTTAGTCCTTGCTCTAAACCACACAACATTAAAAGTGCTCTTTCCTAATGAGTTCAGGTATCTACACCTCTTTCTAGGGGTTTTGTCTAACCACTGTCACCCCAGACTCTCTTCCCTCCCTGTGCACCCCCAAATCTGTGTGAACCACATTCTGCCTCGACCACATTGTATATTTATTTTTCTGCAGGCCCAGCTCAGACTGAGCGTTTTCAATACCAAAATTATGAGAGTCATCTTTGTTACCCAGCCCAGAGCAGGACACATCACACACACACACACACACACACACACACACACACACACACACACACACACACACTTTTTCTTTGAATGAATTTAAAGAAAAACAGTGCATGTCCAGATTCGGTACCTTTTTCTTGGGGGGGGGGGCGGTGGAGGGGGGTAGGGAAAAACAGCAGACAAAAGTAGCAGAAAGTGACAAAGGGCAGGCGGAGGGACAGCCAGAGACCGAGAGTTAGTTTTTGCTTCCCTGGGGCAGCTGAGGAGCAGCTGAGGAGGACCAAGAATAATTAGGACCTTAGACAGATGAAGCCCCATAGATTGGGACTAAATCGCCTTCAGTGACATTCACGAAATGTGATATAGGAAGAGAAAGAAAGCACGCACGTTCCTTTGAGTCTTTAACTACCTGGGAAGTAAACACCGGTAATGAAGGAGGAGCGTAGGAGTTAAAGCCTGAGAAAATGGATTCCAGGTTTGTCTTTAAAGTTTCTTCAGCAGCACTTGTCTGCTCTGATATTTACCCAAGATTTACTGAAGTCGAAATGCTTTAATAAGAGCCTGGCTTTCGGAGCTGCGTGCATAGCTGTAGATTTGTGGAGGTTTGAACAGAAGGTCAGGTACTCAAAGATGAGGAAAACACAGTGGCTTTGTACACAACGCCTGGTTCATCCACCACCTGAGCACTGCCAAGTCCAGGACGGCCACTCTGGGAAAAAATACTTTGAAACTAGAGCAGAGCTGACACAGCTTACAGTTTGGGGAGAAGGGCCCAACCTTCTGCCTCTAAGAAATTTGACCCATGGACCCAGTAAGGGCCTTAAGAAAATGTGTGTCAACTGAAGCCAAATCCTCATTCTTCTATTCATTCCTTTTAGCAAATACCAACCAACAACGGCCAGCACCCGGCCCCTGCTAGAACTGACCAATACAGCACCATCACTCAGGGTCAGGGAGCTGAATGTTACAAGAAGAGCAAGCATAAGAGCCACACAGTTGTGTAGCAGAGACAATATGGCTCTGAGGCCCAGAACACCACCACCACCACCACCACCACCACCACCCCAGGCACCAGGATCAAAATGAAGGGCAGTCTAGAAGACTTGAAAAATGCCATACCAGTGAAGCAAGATGTGTAGTGTATCCTAAGGCTTGAGATAAGATCAAAGAGATAAAACTTGTGACCCTTAGGCAGCCCTAGAGCCACTACAAAGCCTGTTCATGTGTGAATCTTATGTCTATGGTCCTCTCACAGCAAACCTTTTATCTGCTCATGATCCTAAGGAGTCTCAAAGAGTGGATGTTTGTTGAACCTCTGTGTGTGCATGTAAGCATGTGATTCCCGATAACCAAAACCATCCCAGTTTCAAAGGTTGGACGTGGGAAATCTTACGTTCATAAACATTGGACTGGATAGAGCCACAGGCTCTTGAGCTGGCCCAGGCATGTCCAACCTGCAACCCATGACAACTATGAATGCAAACCAACGCATTTATACATTTTTCTCTTGGATTTGATCTAAGCATGTCTCCAGAGACACCAAACAAGAATGGCATCCCACTGCCACAAAATCTTCCCTTCCCTCCCTGATCCTGGCCCCCCATGCCTCCTCCTCACTATTGGCCCTAGATCTCTGAGGGAGTATGGAGCAGTGAATGTTATGTCAAAGTGTTGGATGTCATTGCTGGACTGAACTTCCACCAGAGATTCCTAGACCATCCCAGTCTCAGCCCAACAGAGAGTATCAAAATTCACCCCCTCCTTATAGGATCTGGCAATGTAATGTGATTGCCTTTCTCTTCTAGAGGTCACCCTCCCTGGACCAAGCTCACCAAAAAGAAAAGCAAACAGAATCCCAATGTTTAGGCCTCTGACCCAGAGCTGGAAGAGACTCCCCACCCCTGTGGCTGCACACTCTATGAGAAGCACCAGTAATGGAGCAAACTGCAGTCTCAAACTGGCCAACAAAGTCGCTGTGGTTACAGGGTCCACAAACGGGTGAGAGCAACCCTTTGGGAACTTGGAAGCTGTGGGTATCTCCAGATTTTGCTGATCTCTTTGTCTTGACCTTGGCCCCACAAAGCAAAGCCCATGAGGCTTAAGAGTCTGGAGAGTACGATTCTACTTAGAAACTCCAAGGGGCCGGAGACAAAAGCAGTGCCAGATGTATGACCAGCACGGCCCAATACAGGCCACTCTGTGATGAGCCTAAAATCCAGTAGGAAACAGGAATGTATCATAGAGTAACTCAATAGAAGAAGGCAGAAGGGATTCAACCACTGCTCCAAACTTCTGTTAGTCAAGAGTAGTGTGTAGATGTAATTCTGAACGGTTTTATTAAATAAGAAACACAGAGCCAAATGCAGAGTTAAGAGCCCAAGAGGTCAGAGCAGCAGCCAAGAGCTAAGACCAAGACCGCCTTCTTACCCCTCAATGTTGCTGTCGTCCTTCCCCTCTATTTTATCAGTAGTGCTACCTGGGTTGATAACTACCTCCTTTCAGCTGAGTGCCTGTGAGCACTCAGCAACATTCAGAGATCTGGGTCAAGGAACTCTACAGCGGCACCCGCCCTTGGGGTGTGGACAGTCAGTTGTGGTTCCAGCAGGAGATAAGGCCAAGATCTGATGAGGGACACAGAGATCTGATTCAGCCAGGACTGATCTATCCTCTCTTTCCCATTCTGGCCATCTTAATCACCCAGAAGTAGGGCATGAAGCTAGCTGCTCTGGATTAGTAGAGAAAATTAATTTGATACCTCAGGGCAAAAAATATAACAAGCAAGAAAGGGGTCAACCCAAGACTGAATTGTCACATCCTCTTCATCCTTGCCCACAGGATTGGCTTCTCCATTGCTCGACGTCTGGCCCAGGATGGGGCCCACGTGGTCATCAGCAGCCGGAAGCAGCAGAATGTGGACCGTGCCGTGGCCATGCTGCAGAAGGAGGGACTGTGGGTGTCAGGCACTGTGTGTCATGTTGGGAAAGCAGAAGATCGGGAGCGGCTGGTGGCCACGGTGAGGGACATAGGGCTTCAGCTTTCCTGTGACCCACACTAGAATACCCAGTTACAGACTCCGTTGCATGAACCTGGGTCACTTGGTTCTGCTTGACATGCCTGTAATCTCCCCCGAACAGAACTGAGCAGAGAAAGGACACACTCAGGCCAGGAGGGAGATGTTGGAGTGGGGAGCACTTTAGGAGCGAAGAGGCTGCATCCAGCCATTTGTTGAATACCCACCAGACCCTCCAGGAAGACCAGACCCTTGGGGAGGATCTGATCAGGGACAGAGATGTTATAGAGAAAGAAGTCCTGGTTCTTAGCCAGACCTAGAGTGTTCAGGAAAATGGAGAGGTGACAGTATATCTCAGATGTGCTATAATGTAGATGAGAGGTGTGTTAAGAAAGGCAGGCCGGGGTGCCTGGGATTGGGAGGACATCAGAGGCAATCGGAGCTGAAACCCCAGCTTGTTGTTGGCTCCTGAAAAGAGACCCAGTCATTCTCCAACCTTGCTTAGGATTATTCCTCTCCAGGACTGGATCCAGGCACATTCCCAGACCAACAAGAGCGGTGTCCCACTGTGACAAAAACTTCCCTCCCCCCATGTCTGCTCCTCACCCACAGGCCCTGGAACACTGTGGGGGTGTGGACTTCCTGGTGTGTGTCGCAGGAGTTAATCCCTTGGTGGGAGGTACCCTAAAGAGCAGTGAACAGATCTGGGACAAGGTAAGATCTGAGAAAGCCAGCCAGAGGCTGGTAGAACTTCATCATCTGCATTCGGAAAACCCTCTCCCGGAGTAAGCTTGCTCACCTAGGAGTATTCCTCAGCTTCCACACATCCATGCTCTGTCATCAGCTCACTCACACAGGGCAAGGCCAGGTTTCAGACTCCCTGAGCCTCAGTTTTCCCATCTGTAAGATGCAACCAAGAATGTCTAAGTTGAAGTTCTGGTCATCTAGAGAAGTGAATGTCTTTCTCCCTTGCCCAGGGATGCTTATTCCTCAACACTGGCCCTTGTAGGCTATAATCCTGAAACTCAGCCTTTGCCGGGTTCGCCTGATGATGTCGGCTGTGATCCAGATGGAGTTAGTACCTTTGGAGACAAGGAAAAGCAACCCAGACTTCAGGGTCTGCAATCCCGAGTCATCAACCTGATCCCTTTTGTACTGAGCCTTCAAGATGTCCCCCTTACCCCCGTAAATGCCTCAGTAAATTTCCCTTGGCAGAAGCATCATGTACACACTCTACATTGTATGTTTCCTGCTATGAGAGAACACTCAGCTGATTACATCTCTCCTCTCCTGCCCCTCACTTGCTCTGATTTCAGATCCTGGGTGTGAATGTGAAGGCTCCAGCCCTGCTCCTGAGCCGGCTGCTGCCCCACATGGAGAACAGGGGGTGAGGATCTGGAATGGGGGGAGAGGGGGTGGAGGGGGGAGTCACTTGTATGAAACAGGGAGTAGGGAAGCAAGAGTGTGCCAATAGCACAAGAACAATAAGAGTTTGTCTTTCAAACTTTGGGGTCACTTAAAGAAATCAAAGAACCCCATCCATTGTTGTGCCCAGAGAATGGAATGCAATGGCCAAGGAGTTTGTCAAGGAGTCTTCTAAAAGGAGAATGGGGCGGTGGCGTGCGCGCATGCGTGTGCTTCGGGACGCGTGCACGGTGGTGGTGGGGGGCATCCACAGGTGTTCCCACAAGCGTCCAGGAACCCGGAGATGAAAGTGACTTCTTTGGAGTGCAGGAACTCAGGTCACAAGGCCTGGTGAACCTGAGGTGCCGCATGGCATCTCTGTAGTCTGCTGTTTCTCTGCCTTCTCGTCCGTCACAGGCTGGGGCCGAGGCCCACCTGACCTGCTCCCTCTCGCCTGTGAGGGAGGCCCGGCACTGACTTTCTCTCATTTGATTTCCCACTGATCTCAGTGACGTGAGATGTTTCCAGAAATGTGTTCTCCAGGAGTTCAGCATTTGTTCTGGGCAGAAGCCCCATTCTCGAGGGTTCTTTCTCATTGGCTGTACCGCAGGCCCACCCCACCTTTAGATGCTGTCGGTTGTCAGCTGGGTGCAGTGACAGATGAGAGTTCAAGGTCATCAGCTACCAGTCTCGGTCTCACTCAGAAATCTGCCAGGCCCCTTCCCTTGCACGACAGTTCCTCCTGTGAAGCCCAGCATCAGCAGTGTTCTGTGCCAGCACGGCGCTCACTCTGTGACTCAGAGTGATAAGTGGAGGTTGTCTCTGGGCCAAGTGCTTTGCACTTAATGCTTTAAGACTCCATTTCCAGGGCTGGGCTGGGTCTGGAACGGTGGAGTGCGTTCTCAGCGTACTCACGGTCCCCAGGGAGAAAAGAAAGCGAATCTTTCTTCCGACCAGACTGCTTCCCTGTCTGGTCCCATGATGGCGTTCTGAATCCAGCAAGCACAAGCCCAGCACCTGGTACAGGCTATGTGTTGCCTCTCTAGACTCAAGTTGTCAACTGTGAAATGCAACCAGCACTTCTAATTATGACGCTGAAGTCCCGTTCCAATTCCAACACAGGCATGCTGTAGGATTAGATTGAGCCATATTTTAAAAAATGTCACGTTTGTAGGATAAAAATGGCCACATGGTAGTTCAGAGGGTGCTCTCTGTAGGAGTCCAGTACAACAGACAAAAGCAGACGATGCCCCAGCCTGATACATGGATTTTTCTCTGTTCCCTGGTACCTGACCTGGGCATCTCTGCAGAACCTAGCTTCACAAAACTAGCTGCAAAGGACTAATGAGAAGGCTGCAGAGGCTTTCAAGTCAGAGGCCTGCCTTTGGATCCACACTCAGCACTGCTGTGCGGTCCTGCCATTTACAGTGTTCAGGTCTTTGTTTATCTATTGAGCAAGAGCTCAGATGACTAACAGACCCGTGAACGTAACTGACATGATAAAACATGCCAGCCCCCAAATGAAATACAAAAATCCATCTATATATGTACTGCAGTAAGTAGTGAATATTGTTTGAAAGTAAAATAACCAGCAGCTTAGTTTATCACATAAGTAGTGCAGATATAATTTAATAATTAAACTCAGCCTATCATTTATAAAAATAGTAATTTATTGTTGTTATTCTGGGATCTAAGCAAGCAAAATTACTTGCATTTTTTTTAAAGAAGGCAGGATTTCACCAAATGAATTCCATTTAAATTGTTTCCTTCATTCTTATCTACTTGCTAAGATCCTAATTATCCTTCTTCACGACCCAATTTAAATGGAGCTTCCTGTGGGCTGGAGAAAAAGGAACTCTCAACCTGAAATTCTATACTTAACAAATTCATCTCTCACAAACTCAGGGTAGAGTTACAGCAATCTTGGGTCAACCGAAGTCAGTCACTAAAGGACATTCTAGCCACATGCTTCCTGCCAGAGGAATTAGACAGCCAGTCCTTAAAACGTGTAAGAGCAAAAATTAGAGTGAATGACAGAGAGAAGAGTAACATGAACAAGCCAAACCATCTATTCCCCAACGCAAGGATGTTTTGGAGGTTTCAGAGAAATAAAAACATACAAAAATAATTTTCACATCAGAAAGATAGAAGTTGAGTCACACTGCTGAGAGATTCATATGTTGTTTAGACAGAGCAAGAGTATTACATTTTAATTAGCTAAACAGCTCTATTTTACTTTCTGTATAAACAGATCCAACAATGTCCTTAGAGGACAAAATATATTTTTAAACTAATAGATAGGGAGGTAAAAACAAAACAAACAAAAAATCCAAAAGAAAATGATAAGGAACTGGGGGTGGGATTTGAAAAATCACAAAATTGGATGTTAGGTATTAACTGACTCTTAGTACATCGGTAAACACTGTTAAAATATAAGAATCACCAGGCTAGGGCCAGGGAGGTAAATAAAGAGCTTGCCTCACAAGCGTGAGGACCTGGGCTTGCTCCACAGAACCCATATGAGAAAGCCAAGCTTCACTACTGAAGGCCCTAGCCACCCAGCCTAGGCGAGGAGGTAAGAGAGCTCAGATCAGTGAAATAGCCCTCCTCAAAGACAGTGAGAAAAGACACCGGAGAAACGACACCCAAGCTTGTCCTCTGATGTCCACACATACGTGCAGGAACACCTGAACACACACACACTCACACACTCATGTACCCATACACACATTCAAGGGGAGGAGGTTGGAGGAGGAGCAAGAGAGACTGGGAGTAATGTAACACATAAATACATAAAACCAAAGATTTATTTAAAAAAAAAAAAAAAAAAACGAGTACTTTTGACAAATTGCCAGTAAAGTTGATGAAGGAAAGAACAAATAATACCAGGAATAAAGACAAAAGCACCACTAGAGAAATTGAAAGCAATAAAAAGGCATTACGCAAATGATACTGCCGACCAGAAAACTGTGATAAACACATGCCGAAACTGTAATGAAACACAATTTTTAAAATCATATACCCTATCAACATTATTCAAGAACACATAGGAAATGTTTCTAGTCTTTTTTTTATCTTATTTTATTAGGTTTTGAGAATTTCATACAACACATTTTGATCATATTCACCCTCCCCCTAACCCCTCCCAGAGCCACCCGCCCCTGCTCCACTTCCTGCCTCTTTGTTTTAAATCTCTCAAGTCTAATTTGCGCTCTAGTATCCTCTTGGATGTTCGGCCTTCCATGGGAGCATGGTTGACCTACCAAGGGCTACACCCTGAAAGCAAACTGCCTCCTCCTCTGCCAGCAGCCACAGACTGCCAACAGCTCCTGGGCTCGGGGTGGAGCTTCATGTCCACTGCTCTGTGTTAGGAGAAGGTCTGAGTTGAGCTTGTGCAGACCTTGTACATGCTGTCACAACAGCTGTGCACTCACTTGTACAACTGTCCCGCCGTGTCTGGAAAACATGGCTTCACTGTAGTCATCCCAAACCTCTGGTTCTTAAACTCTTTCAGCAGCACCCTCTCCCGAAACGATCCCTGAGCCTTGGGGGGAGGGGGTGTGATAGAGTTGTCTCTCTTCAGATGAGCATCCATCCCCAAAGCTCCTAATCTCTTCTCTATGACCAGCTGTGGGTTCCTGTGTCAATCCCCATCTATCACAAACAGAAGCTTCTCTGGCAAGGGTTGAGAGATCCATTGACACAAATGAAAGTTAGTAAGAGTCACTTTGCCAGGCAGTGGTGGCGCACCCCTTTAATCCCAACACTCAGGAGGCAGAGAAAGGCAGATCTCTGTGAGTTCAGGGCCAGCCTGGTCTATAAAGCAAGTTCCAGAGCAGCCAGAGCTACATAATGGAGAGACACTGTCTCAAAAATAAAACAAGAGCAGGCTTAATAATATGTCCACTTAGCATAACAATAGTAATCTATATTCGATTTTTCCCCAAAAACAAAATCCAAACACAGATGGCCTCTCTGTTAATATAACCTGATTAACATTATTGAGGACCTAAGGAAAATGAAGATAAATCCTCCTACCAGGCCTAAGCTGTTCTCCCTCACTCCCATGGCTTCCATCCCCAACACCAACACCATTATCAGGTACACAGAGAAGAACTGTGTCCAGCTTGTGTTCTGTTCCTCTTTATCTTGCCAGACAAGGTTCGGTGGTCCTGGTGTCCTCAGTGGCAGCTTATATACCACTTCCTGTAAGTATCACTGTCTGTGGCTCCAGTCAGGTAAGAGGAAACTCCCCTTTTCCACCCAGAAAATTGGGTGATGGAAATAACGGACATTTAACAATGGGTTTCCTCAGAACTGCTCATGTGCGAAAGAGGCACATCATCTTCTGTAAACGCACTTGGCAGGAACATGTGCCACCTCTTCTGGACACTGGCTTCCAAACTCGATGAGCAGGCTATGTTACCGGGGTAGATTCCCTGAGCAGAACGCAGGAGACACAAGCGTCTCTCCCTTGTCCTCAATTCCAGTCTCTCCATCTAGTCCCCTTTCTGTCCTCAGAGGCTGGGAGTCTACAATGTCAGTAAAACGGCCCTGCTGGGACTAACCAAGACTCTGGCGGTGGAGCTAGCACCGAAGAGCATCCGTGTGAACTGCATCGTGCCAGGCTACATCAACACAGACTTCAGCCAAGTGGTGAGGACCAAGGGCGGGCACTCTTCCAGCCACTGAGTGCTGGGGGCCTGCCACTTCCTGGGGGCCTGCCACTTCCCATACGTCCCTGTACTCTTTTTTTTTTTTAATTCTCGAATACAATACATCCTGACCACAGTTTTCCCTCCCTCCATGCCTCCCAGTCATCCCCCTGACACACACCTCCCCTCTCCTGCAGATCCACTCCTCTTCTGTTTCCCTTCAGAAAAGAGCGGGCCTCCCGGGGACATCAACCAAACACAGTATAACAAGATACAAGACCAGGCACCAACCCTCACATCAAGGCTGGGCGAGGCACCCCAGTAGGCGGACAAGGGTTCCAAGAACAGGCAGAAGAGTCAGAGACACCCCCACTCCCATTGTTAAGAGTCCCACAAACACGCCAAGCTAAACAGCCACAGCATGTATGCAAAGGGCCCAGTGCAGACCCTTGCAGACTCTGTGACTGTCGCTTCAGTCTCTGTGAGCCTGTGTGACCCCTGCTTAGTTGCTTCTGTGGGCCGTGTTCTGGTGAGACTTGCACTCTTAAGCTTTAAACCTTTGGGCTCTTTTTTGCTCAGATGTTCTGGTCCACAGCTTTGGGGATCCACATTAGAATCAAAATCAGGGTCATCCCAGAGTGTCCCACAGAAGCCCTTTCACGAACACACAGCATGCGTCATGTAGAGCCCATGTGATTGTGTCTTGCATGAACACTACTCTAACTTTTGACCTTGCCTTTAGTTCACTGAAGACTCAGCCATTGAGGAACATTTGAAGTATTTCTATGGAATGCAGAGGTAGGTTATATGAGGCAGATTCCCTTGTAGATCTGAATTAACATGACCTCAGAACCTACATGAAAGACGAAACATCATAGTCTATCGCTCTGCAGGTCGTTAGCCATTCCCCTTTCTAGGATCTGAAGAGCCCAAAGGCTTGAGACAGCCTCTGTAGCTCCTTACAGGGCCCACAAGTCTTCACTTGTAGCTCTTTGCTCATCCCCACAGGGTCTTGATTCTGCAGTTTCACTCAAGAGCTTTGGGCTGATGGGGAGGGTGTCACTGTTTCAGCCTCCTCTCCTCTCTCCATACAGAGTGGGGCAGCCTGAGGATTGCGCAGGACTTGTGTCTTTCCTGTGCTCCCCGGAGGCCAGCTATATCACTGGTGAGAACATCGCTGTAGCTGGCTGGTCCCCCCACCTCTGAGGGAACTGAGGTCAGAGCTCAGGCTCACCTCCCCACTTAGGAGACCTATGTGACCCTAGGACCATATGATGCAATATTTTTAAAAAATAAGCCTGTGCTCCAAATGTGTACACTTTGGTTCAAAGCTTTCAGAAGAATAAAAGCTCATCAGAAAAGAGTTTATAATACAAAGCCGTCATTAAAAGGAACAAAACAATGTCAGTTTGCCTGAAAACAAAATGTGGGCTTGGGAATCGTGGATAAAAGGAAGGCGGCACAGTTGGGCAGGGAAAGTGCTGGAAGCAAGGACAGCAAATTGGCTTTCTGAGCATGTTACTAAGTGCTTTCGTGTGGAGTATTTCCTAAGTGTTCCTGTGAACCTGCTCTCTTAATATCTAATTCTGCAGCTAAGGAAGCTGAGACTTAGGATTCTCATTTTCCCATCAGACTCACATCCTATAAGACCTAAGCTGGTCTACCTGCATCCCTGCACACTCCCGCCACACTGCATCCCTGCACAGACCCACCACACTGCATCCCTGCACACTCCCGCCACACTGCATCCCTGCACACTCCCGCCACACTGCATCCCTGCACACTCCCACCACACTGCATCCCTGCACACTCCCACCACACTGCATCCCTGCACACTCCCGCCACACTGCATCCCTGCATGCTACACGCTCCTGCCACACTGCATCCCTACACAGACCCACCACACTGCATCCCTGCACAGACCCACCACACTGCATCCCTGCACACAACCACCACACTGCATCCCTGCACAGACCCACCACACTGCATCCCTGCACACAACCACCACACTGCATCCCTGCACACTCCCACCACACTGCATCCCTGCACAGACCCACCACACTGCATCCCTGCACACTCCCGCCACACTGCATCCCTGCACACTCCCACCACACTGCATCCCTGCACACTCCCGCTAACCCTTAGAGAAAAATGTAAGCAAAAAGAAAAATATGGAATGGAGTGAGTTGAAGGGAGGTATGGAGAAAGGGGAGCTAGAACTCAAGCAGGCTTGTTTGGAGACCACACCTGTCAGAAGTAACACAAGTCACATAGCCAGACCAACTTGGAGAGCTCCTACCCCTGATGCCAAACCAGTGAGTGGATATGCTGGATAAATTCCTCAAAGGCACACATCATGTACACACACAGACATATACACACAGAGCAGGTGTACATAGACTGTGCTCTCGGAGGACCTCAAGGACTCTCCCTTGACAAAAGAAAAAGAGACGAATGACCACTGAGGAAGCATCCACAGGACTGGTGTCCCCTACTGTCAATCGGAACAATAGGAATCCAAACCAGCAGAAGGGCTGGCTAGACAGCTCAGTGGGCAGAGTACTTCCCACACAAGCATGAGGACCTGAGTTCATGTCTCCAGAACCCAATGTCAGGGGCAATAGTGCATGTGTCTGCAACTCCAGCGCTCCTGTGGTGAGATGGGAGGTGGAAACAGGAGAGTGTCTGGAAAGACAGGGACCAGATCGCCTGGCATACACAGCTGCTCACAACAAAGGCAGAGCAAGGCAGAAGGTAGAGACTGACATTATTCTCTGCTCTCCACACACTTGCCCACTCACACACACAAACGTGCACACACAGCACAGCACACACACACATTAAACACACAAACTCACACACACAAACGTGCACACACAGCACAGCACACATACACATTAAGCACACACACACACACACACACACACACACACACACACACACACGTATAAGGACAAAAATGTTTTTGCTGGGTGGTGGTGGCCCACGCCTTTAATCCCAGCACTTGGGAGGCAGAGGCAGGTGGATCTCTGTGAGCTTTAGGCCAGAGTGAGTTTCAGAACAGCCAAAGCTACACAGAGAAACCCTGTCTCGATAAACAAGAGCAAAAGCCACAATAAAGAAGAAAAGTATCTTAAAATATAGTCTGGAGAGATGGCTCCAGTGGTTAAGAGCTCTGGTTGCTCTTCTAGAGGACCAGGGTTGGGTTCCCAGAACCCATGTGGTGGCTCATAATCATCCATAACTCCAGTTCTAAGGGAAATGATGCCTCCTCTGGCCTCCACAGGCACACAAGTAGTCCTCAGTGCAAGTAAAACACTCATATACGCAAAAAAAATTAATTTAAAAATGTTTAAATAAAAATAAAATAGAAAAAGCCATTATATCTTAATTGTTCTCCAAGGAGCAAAGCTATAATCACGTGAGGGATTTCTGAGTCACAGCGATATTAGCAAGGGTAACAGGCAGTGGTGTTAAGGCTAATAGAGCAGAGGGGAGAGATGGCTCAGGGATTAAGAAGCTCACTGCTCTTGGAGAGGACTCATCCTAACTCCATTTGCAGTGGGTTTGGTGCCTTTTTCTACCTGTCACGGGCATGTGACAATTGTGATACTATATTGACACATAGTCATTTAAAATATACAGACAAGTAAGTAAAAATAATCTTAAAAAAACTAATTAATAGAGCAGCTGAGCAGTAGGGGCTGGACCATTCCAGTCCTTTTAATCCAAACCAGGACCCTCGCAGTCACTCCACATGAATGTGGACAGCGTGCCCCAGCTCAGCTGCTACTCCCAGTGAGGCGCGGTATGCTCGGGGGGGGGGGGGGTGGGGGGGTGTTTCCTCTGTCCCAGATACTCGGACCCTGTCCTGTCGCCTCTGCCTTCTTCACACACGAATGTTGGTGCGGGTCTCTTCACACACGGATGTTGGTGCGGGTCTCTTCTTCACACACGGATGTTGGTGCGGGTCTCTTCTTCACACACAAATGTTGGTGCGGGTCTCTTCACACATGGATGTTGGTGCGGGTCTCTTCTTCACACACGAATGTTGGTGCGGGTCTCTTCACACATGGATGTTGGTGCGGGTCTTGTAACTACTGGAAACTTTTTTGCCACTTCTATTTTCGGGTTTGTGGGGATTTGTGAATGTTTTCCAAGGGCCTGAGGCTTTAAAAATAGGATATGAGGAGTTCCAGCCACCATGCTATACTATCTCCCAACCCCTGAGAATTTGGGAGGAGAGCATCCCAGCAAAAGGAAATGCCCTGGATAAATTAATTCACCTGTTCTGGGGGTGCTGAGACACATTTGTGTAGGTCACATTGTTTAGAGCAAAAGTTCAAGAAACTAGACCAAAAGTTTCAGAAATGTCTAAGTGCTGTTTGTCACCATTTAAAAAGGACCTGGGCTCATATGTTCACTGCTTTAGTCAGAATTCTCTAGAGTCCTAGAATTTGTGGGATGAATCTCTCTCTCTCTCTCTCTCTCTCTCTCTCTCTCTCTCTCTCTCTCTCTCTCTCTAGTCCAACAATGGCTAAATGTGAATGGAAAATCCAAGAATCTAGTAGCTGCTCAGGCCCATGAGGCTGAGTGTTCCCGCTGGTCTTCTGGATGTGCTAACAAGGTGAGGGCAAGCAGGCGAAGAAGAACCCTTCCTTCTTCCATTGTCCTTATATGGGCTTCTGGCAAAAGGTGTGGCCCAGATTAGAGTGTGCCTTCCAGCCTCCAGGTCTGCATCAAAGTCATGTTGTCTTCCTGCCTCAAGACCTGATCACAATTGTGCCCTCCATTTCTTGATTATAGTCCATTCCAGCTATAGTCAAGTTGACAACCAAGAATACCCATTACCCTTACTTTACAAACCTGTGCATCCCCCACATAACAGTTGAGACTGCAGCCCACAGCTCCAACAGGCTAGAAACTATTGCAAGGGACTCTTTACAATCAGTTTCATGATTTCCATGATTCCAAATCCTTACTTGAGTCTTCTGGAAGGCAACAGAGAAATAAAGTAGCTCAAAATCGGTCTAGTCTATGGCTACCTGCACAAGACCAAGCCAACAACAAGATCATTTGAACATTCTGTACAAACTGTACTTGGTGGATTTGTGATGGCTGTTCTTGGTTGTTAACTACATCTGGAATTAACTAAAACCCAAGCAGCTAGGTACACCTGTGAGGCATTTTTCTTTAATTAAATCACGTGGAGTGGGAAGATCCACTTTTAATCTGGATCTTTTGTGATGGGAAGATTCACCTTCAATCTGGGCCACACCTTCTGGTGGAAGTCTACATAAAGGACATGGAAGAAGGAAGCTCTCTCTTTTTACCTGATTGCCCTCACTCTGGCTGACAAGTCATTCCTTCACTGGCATAGAGTCTATGTCTTCAGGATTCCAGCATATACTGAAGACTAGCAGAGACAACAAGTCTGGGGTACTAAAAAACTACTGGTTCTTGAACCTCCTGTTGGTAGATAGCCATTGTTGCCTACCAACAATGGACTATAGGACCACAGCCTATAAGCCAGTCTAATAAATCCAGTGTGTGTGAGAGAGACAGAGACAGAGACAGAAAAAGAGAGAGACAGAGATAGAGACACAGTTCTGTTCCTCCAGAGAACCCTATCAGGTTGTGGTAACAGAAGTAGTTCTAGAACAGCAGAAGTATAAGTATGAATTTTTTTAGGTAAGTGGAATAGGCTTTCCAATTTGCAGACACTTAGAGTTACTGAAGCCTCTCCTAAAATCTCAGAGAATATTGAAAGCACATGTTGTGAAGTATTTTACAAACTTATGGAGACAAATACATTTGATTATTCTGATTCATCAATTGTGAAAATAACAGATTTGGGGACTCTGTATATCAAATTTTTGACCATCTGTGGAAAAATAAGGAAAAGATGATGCTGGTTGGTTGCTCCTAGCATCTCTGAATAAATTGAAAAAGGAAAATAATGAGCTCTATGGTAAAGTTAACAACTTCTAGCATCTCAAAATATGGTGAAGGAAAACAATGAACTCTGATAAAACTGACTGGTTCCAGATGTGCATAGTCTAAAGGTTTCGAAGTGTGCCCAGCAAAAGAAATCTTCACTCCAGCAGCCACAGAGCTCAAGTTGCAGAAAATCAAGGCAAAGCCTTCTTTATAAGGTTGGCTGAATTACACAGAAAATTCAAGTCCTGGCCTTGGAGAGTGTTGGG